AAATTTTTGTTTTTGTTTTAGTTTTTGTTCAACCATATCTGGCCTTATGTTTTGATCTGGAGAATACAATAAATGTTTTTCCTTTTCAATGAACCCAATATGAACACTGTGTCCTGGGAGATACTTTAATCGTGATATTAATCATGATACACAATCGACACCATGCGGCTAACATCCTAGCAGTCAGTAACTTGAGTAACTGATTTTTGTGTAAGAGAATGCTTTGTAAGATCGTCATGATAGGTCCAGGTTTTGATGTGATTGAAGTGGGACAGCTAGGTATCATCACATATGAATATGAATTACCTTTAGCCACAGGATGGCAGCGCTCCTCTGGCTGCACGCAGGTGCAGGTATATGGAGTGCTGGCCCCATCTCCCACCCAGTTACTGTGGCTTGTAGTAAAATCCTGGCAAACACACATGTATGAAAGGAACAAAGCCTTACCTGTTTTTTGGTTTATGTATGAGTATTAAAAATAATATTGTTCTAAAATTGTAAAACAGTGATTGTTCAGAAGTTAAGCTAATATATAAATTGTAACTAATTTACCACTGTTACAGTATATCACATCTTCACATCTTCATCTATCATGTCTGTTACCTGCAGGGCAGTGGAGTAGCTGGCCAAGCTGTGGCGAGCACTTTGGTACTCTTTGGCCCGTACTGAGAGCAGAGTCTGAGCCCACACCTGCCGTAAACATCCACATGGCGCGTCCACAACGCTCTGAATCAAAGTGGTATACATACGTCCCCGGGTCGGACTGTGGAGATCAGGAAGTCCATGGCAGCGTTGGACTTCACCACCCTCTTTCACATCTCTCCAGAAGCCAGCGGCCTAGTCTGGTCTGGGAGGGACACAGGCTGATTTTTACCATCATTGGAACGAGAAGTAGTTCAGTGCTCGATATGACATGGATAATATGATTGACCCTCAATGACGTCTTTTATACTGGACACTGCAGGTAAATACACTGTCTGCAACACATCAGCTCACCTGTGTCCTGTGCATGGTTTCCTGGTGTTTTTTTGGTGCCCTTCAGAGTCTCCAAGGTGACGTTGAGAATGGCCTGCTCTGTTCATGTACTATGGTGCGTGTTGCGAGTCAAGAAGACAGCGTTAACACTCGAGACCGAAAAATTGGGGAAGGAAGCCCAAGCATGGTAGAGGCAGAAGGAGGAGGTAAGTGAGAATAAACCAGTACAATGGTTTCCCACTCCCCCTCCCAGATTCTTCCTCTGCCTGTTGACATTATGTCCTGGAGATAGGCTGAAGTATGTCACATCCTACCTGCATAAAATAAAATAAAACCATGGGTTTTGCAGTTAATTGCAATACAAGAATCACTCTTGCATCCAACTTTTAAGGTATTTAATAGGCATAGCACATGGTATAGACTAAAATAGATGCTAAAATGCTCTGTACACAGATGGGAAACTGGCAGTCAGGTCAGGTTTGTCAAGCAACACCTGTCACAATTACACTTCCGTGTGTAGCCTCAATAAATTTGAGCTTTTTTTTGTGAATGCTTTATTTGTTATTTTCAAAGCTATTTTAGTGCTTTGCCTTTTTATGGATGCATGTTGAAAATAATGTTCCAACATCAAACAACATTTAGCTGAACTGAACCAAGAGAGTTCTTTAATGGTTCATGATTTTGTCCACATAAAATCAATTCCTGCTTGCTAAATAAGATGGTTATGAATTGACCCGACCCCTCTTGTTCAGTAAAGTTTTGTGCTGATTTGATCAGTCTGTTGCCAGTCATCCATTGTGTCCTTTTCTGTCATCACCACACTCCTTATAACACCCCCCTCTCCCTAAAACCTTCTTTTACATTTTTCTCAGCCTTGTCTGTACAGAGGCTCCTATTGTTCTTGTCCACTTTATTCAGATACAATACTTTGGTTTTGTTCTCTAGTCTTATGCTTTCACAAGGGAGACACTGAAACAAAGCAATGAGGCCCATAAACAACTGCTCCCTCCACTCTGCCAGCGTCCATTAGCAAATCACTTTTAATTGATTGGCGTGGGCCTTAAATTGAGAACACAAAGATCCTCCTATCAATCACTTCCAGGAATGATGCACTATCTGATACATTTTTTTGTGTTTAACCTGTATAGCTTGCGTACTTCTTTCATTGCTTAGTTTGCCCATTACTGAGCATGTAAGCACAGTGTATTAACTAGAGCTTTAGCTTTGCACCAAACTTCTCCTTCATCGCGGTGAAAGAATGTCAACAAGAATGTGAGTCTTTTTTAATTGCACAATTAGTACATGCTGTATTCATTATTTTTTTTAACCTCTGTTTGTATATTACCAACAACTACAACACTTCGTTATAGTTGTACCTTTAATCTAAGTTTTTCGACACAAAATAAAAATGTTCTTCCTCAGTTCATCCTGTCAGACTCTTCCTCTTTAGACTTTGTTGAGACGCGCATTTAGCCGAGACACCGCAGTCACAGCGCGCAGGAACGCCACAAATGTAATGTTCATATAACAACTTAGAACCACAACTTGTTAACAGAGGAAACGGCCCCTGATATCACAGCATTCTTGTCTGTGTGACAAATATATTGAGTCTTCACATTTGTCTGTCCTTGGGCTCTTGTCTCTGGCTGGCTCCTCAGTAAGAAAAATAACAACCAAGATATGAATGGAAGAAGCTTGGATGAGAGTCTAGTTGACACGGCACGGTCTTGGGTGTGTTTCTTAGTGAGGGGGGCACACCGTGAGGCAGAGGACATCCCGTCAATAGCTTTCCCTACAGCCTTGTGCCCTCCTTACCCCCATTATTGCATGGTGCATTGATTCACACACAATGGGCTGCATATATTACCAGTTAGGGTGTTCAACTTAAGGCCTACCCCAACCCCCCCTGCCCTCTCTCCCTCCATCACTCCCGCTTTTTCCTAAGACAACACAAAAAACACTCCTTTTCACAACTGCAAACACTACAACCCTTCCTCTCTCCATAGTTACCCGCATTTCTAATGGCTGTTTTCAAAGAAGGGCATCAGTTGCTAGCCAACGCTTGTGACAATGCTGAACTTCAGTTTGTGCGACTGAATGTGGTAAAAGGACATAGACTAAATGATTGGGGTATTTTTCAGCTTTGGTCTTTCTGTTGTTTCAGGGATTTGGCAGCTTCTCAACCACCTTTTAAGACCTAAACTAGTTTTCCAGAGCAAAAATATTTGATCCTGTTTTAGTTATGGGGTGAAAGAGAAACAAAGAGAGAAGAAGAAAGTTTTGTGTCTGTAGTTGTGTCTATGTCTCACTCCATCTCGTGAGCAAACCACAAAAAAAAACCACTGTTTCTCTCAGAAAGTGAAAGTAGATTGTTGGGAAGCTTGATCACACACACCTACAGAAGCAGGGTGATGGGTAAAAACATTAAGAACAACCAGAGGTTATACTTCTCTGAACTTCCCAATTTACTGGAAGATAGCTGCAGGTGGTTAGTGCATGTTTCCTGTTTACCTGCGGTAAGGTAACCCACTTTTATTCTGGGCTTAGTTTTTCACACTGGTTTTGCTTTCAGCAGAAGATTCACATGACCCAGTTTAACAACTGTCGCGTCAACCACATTACTTTACATATTATAATAGGTCTACTCTTGCTACACTAACATATTCTCTGTGTGTTTATAAGAACTGCTCCCGGTATTTTTCTGTGTATAGAAGCATTCATTTAGTCATAACAGACTGCAGAACTCACTCTCTGCAACAATGATAATGAAGGTCCTGATTTGGATAGTCACTTCCCTTTTTCCAAACGGCTGTCTTTTTACTGCTCTCATCTTATGATAGCTATCAGCACCACTTGCCCCCACTTTTTACAGTTGTGGGGAAGTTTTTATGCCAATACATTGCTGATGCCAGTTACTCCTAAAACCCTCAAACCTCATCAGACATTGGAAAATACATGTCAGGTTTAAATATATGAAGGCACAACTAGACAGAAAAAACCGCCAGGAATTAAAGGCATCCTTTGACCAAAACGAAATTCCATATTCAATATTTACTTTTGCTATCCTTCCATCCTATTTGTTGAACAGACATAAGAAAAAACAAAAAAACATTAGGCTTCTAACTTGTTGTGAACACGTTTTCATCTACTAACTGGTTCTTAAAAACCACAGAGCACATGACAGCAAGGCTCACTCTGATTTTGAAATATATTTTTATTACTTCCACCAAGCGGGTTTTCAGCTGTGTCTGTTTGTCTGTTTGTCTGTCTGTTTGTTTGTTTGTTTGTCAGCAGGATTACACAAAAAGTACTGAACTGAATTGTACCGAACTAGGTGGGTAGACGGGGCAGGGCCAAAGGAAGAACCCATTAAATTCTGGGGCAGATCTGGATCATATTCTTTGAATTTAATTTTTTTTTTCTCAGAAGATTGGTTTTGTGCTGTTTGACGGAGGTCTGTGCTCTCTGACTGCACTTCTGTTCTATTTTATTGTTGTGGACCACTGGAAGAAAGCATGCAGGGATCCAGAGTATGCCACCTTAACGCTGAGCATTTTTGAAGCGTCTCCAAGCTGATGACATGCCACTGAGATTTCTTCCAAAATAAGTCAGTCCTTCGTTTTATTTTTTTTTATTATTTAGTGTCCGAATTCTGAGGATCTAATGTATCATCTTTATTAATTCATCACTGTACGCAATTTAGATTTACTGCTCATTATATTTGAGTGTGCGTTGTCTTTTAGGCGGTAGGAACTGAATGGCTGAACTATTGTGAAATAACTTGACTTAATTCATGTATCGTGATTATTAACGACACGTGCAAGGATTAGCAATAAGTTGAGAGTTAGCGAGTAGGTTTGGGAAAAGGTCAGTGGTAGATAGATAGAAGAATGCAAGTAACAGGGCGACTGGACCTGTCTCCTGGGCGCTCCAGCCGAGCTTAGGTAGTAGGCGTGTCCTGAGTTTGACTGTAAATAGGTCAGGCAGAAGCCTCCGTGGCTGACACTTCCTGCGCTTGGTACACATTCTACGTAAAGGTATGCCTCGGATACATTGTTTTAATTATTGGAATATGCTTAAAAGTCACCTTTATTGACTGTATAGTGTATAGGTGAAGATGTCTATGTACTGTATGTTGAACCTGCTACATGCTGTACAGGTGTATTATTTAACATCAGGTGAACAGTGCTCTGCTTTTGCACAGATGCACAGATTTTCCTTCAGTTGAGTCACATCTGTCATTTTTACGAAAGACAGTAAGGTAACAGTTTCTGCCAAGTAATATTACACGTTGTTGGGTATTATTGTAAGTTACGTTGGTCTTTTTAATCATCACTTCTTTGTTGTGATCCCTCTACTGTAACAGAGCTCACACACGCTATGTTGTGATTCATTTCACCTGTCATCTTATATAAAAAAGCAAAAACTCATCTTGTAAACCACTAAATATAAAAAATAAAAAATATAGTTTCATATAGACGTATATAAAGTTTAATTTTTTTTTATTTTTACAGACTTTGTTACCTGTTGAGCTGACATGATGGTGAACTGCTGTGGCCTGCTTACCGCCAATAAAGCACCAGGTACAGTGCAGTCAGACAACACATCTGTTTTGTATATTAGGTTTTGCTCATGTAAAAAATTGATTTACTAACTTTTCTTCATACCCACAGCCTCTCACAGAGGACCGACCGACTTTTATTCATACTGAATAACCATATTAACTTGCAGTAACAAAATACAGATTCTGTGTCTGTATTTTTTTCCCATTGTAGTCTGTTAAATAGTGCTGTCTATTCAGATTCAAAAAGATTGATCAGATTAGAACTGATTAGCCCATCTGAAATGTGAAGATTTGCTAATTTCATTTGGATTCAGATATAACAGAATGCGTAATTTGAAGACCTTAAATTCAGCTCCTGTAACTTTGGTTGTCTAGTACTGAGATGAAGAAATTTATTGATTTACTGATCATTTTAAATATTGCTTATTTAAGGCCTTAGTGTCGATATTTCGACATGTGTAAGAATGATTGTGGGTGTGAATTGGCTTGTGTGTGCTGATATTTGTCCACTGGAGTCAGTTTTTGGTCCGTAGGGCTTTTACAAAACATCCTTAAAATTGATGAAGTATACATATTCACACTTATGGGGGAAGGAGAGAATCCAGCAATTCGGGAACCTTAAATTTGTATCATCAATCATTGTAAATACTATTTTCTGTTTCTCTGTGTCCATTGTTTTTCCTTCCATTTCTCGGTCAGTTCCTCTGAAGAGCATCGAGGTGGAGCTGGAGGTCAGGGACCATGTGGCTACGGTGGTCTCCACCCTGACCTACGAGAACAAGGAGGACAAACCAGTAGAGGCTGTTTTTGTCTTCCCTCTGCCTGGAGATGCTGCTGTCTGTCATTTCAGTGCTAAGATTGGACAGACACAGATTGTAGCTGAGGTGAAGGAGAAACAGCAGGTGAGCTGGACAGTAAATGCTTACTCACTGTAATGGATCTTAAAGAAAAAATAAACATGGTGAATGTTGCTGACATGTGTCATCTGTGCTCCAGGCTCGTGAGGAGTATGATGATGCGCTGAGCTCTGGTCAGCAGGCCTTCCTGTTGGAGGAGAGTGAGCAGAGTCCAGATATATTCACCCTGAGTGTGGGCAGTCTGCCTCCAGGAGAGAGCGCCTCCATCAGGCTGGAGTACGTCACTGAGCTGGCTGTTCAGGCTGATGACGGGCTGAGGTTTTGTCTGCCTGCTGTGCTCAACCCTCGCTACCAACCTCAGGGTAGGAAATCCAGCCAACACTTAAATTTAGTGAACAACAAACTAGTTTGGTCTGTGTCTGTGGCAGTGTCAAGTATCAAGTGCACCGTCCACACACTGGTGCAAGTTAAAAACCAGTGTGAAATACACCAACAGAACATCTGGCAGTTGTGCTGTGCTATAAAGCATCTGGGATTTTTGAGGGTGAAATCAATATTGATGTCAGAGAACTTAACACAGGGTAGGAAAACCAGCAAGTACTTTCACTACATGGACTGTCATCCATGCATTGGTACATATATCATCCAGAAGATGAATCCTATTGTCTTATCGTCTGACTTTTTGTTGAGCATAACCAGCAAGTCAAAGTAAACATTTCTGCTGCTAAACATGGGTCTGTTAGCATGCTACCATTAGCATTTAGCTAAAGGATATAATTGAGTACAGCCTTAGACAGCTGCTAGCAAAACTGTAGACTTGTCTTGTTTTAGTTTCACTGGTAGCTATGATTTACATTAGATGCTTAAATGTGAGATGTCTGTAAGTTTAGTACTTACTTTTTCACAGGAAGTGGAGGTAGTGAAGGTGCCAGTGGATTAGACTAGAATTGTACCGAACTAGGTGGGTAGACGGGGCAGGGCCAAAGGAAGAACCCATTAAATTCTGGGGCAGATCTGGATCATATTCTTTGAATTTAATTTTTTTTTTCTCAGAAGATTGGTTTTGTGCTGTTTGACGGAGGTCTGTGCTCTCTGACTGCACTTCTGTTCTATTTTATTGTTGTGGACCACTGGAAGAAAGCATGCAGGGATCCAGAGTATGCCACCTTAACGCTGAGCATTTTTGAAGCGTCTCCAAGCTGATGACATGCCACTGAGATTTCTTCCGAAATAAGTCAGTCCTTCGTTTTATTTTTTTTTATTATTTAGTGTCCGAATTCTGAGGATCTAATGTATCATCTTTATTAATTCATCACTGTACGCAATTTAGATTTACTGCTCATTATATTTGAGTGTGCGTTGTCTTTTAGGCGGTAGGAACTGAATGGCTGAACTATTGTGAAATAACTTGACTTAATTCATGTATCGTGATTATTAACGACACGTGCAAGGATTAGCAATAAGTTGAGAGTTAGCGAGTAGGTTTGGGAAAAGGTCAGTGGTAGATAGATAGAAGAATGCAAGTAACAGGGCGACTGGACCTGTCTCCTGGGCGCTCCAGCCGAGCTTAGGTAGTAGGCGTGTCCTGAGTTTGACTGTAAATAGGTCAGGCAGAAGCCTCCGTGGCTGACACTTCCTGCGCTTGGTACACTTTCTACGTAAAGGTATGCCTCGGATACATTGTTTTAATTATTGGAATATGCTTAAAAGTCACCTTTATTGACTGTATAGTGTATAGGTGAAGATGTCTATGTACTGTATGTTGAACCTGCTACATGCTGTACAGGTGTATTATTTAACATCAGGTGAACAGTGCTCTGCTTTTGCACAGATGCACAGATTTTCCTTCAGTTGAGTCACATCTGTCATTTTTACGAAAGACAGTAAGGTAACAGTTTCTGCCACAAACAAATAACAGTAATATTACACGTTGTTGGGTATTATTGTAAGTTACGTTGGTCTTTTTAATCATCACTTCTTTGTTGTGATCCCTCTACTGTAACAGAGCTCACACACGCTATGTTGTGATTCATTTCACCTGTCATCTTATATAAAAAAGCAAAAACTCATCTTGTAAACCACTAAATATAAAAAATAAAAAATATAGTTTCATATAGACGTATATAAAGTTTAATTTTTTTT